AGTGTGGGGACTGTGCAGCAGCCACCGAAATCCCAGGAGGGCGCCTGGGAATATTTGGTGCCCACTTGGTCTGCTTGTTTGTATGGCCGTTCCAGTCGCACGTTTAGGGACCCCCCAGCAGTGGGCAAGAAGTTAGGTGGAAAAGCTTGGGCTTTTCACTGCAGGTTTGCACAGGTTTAGGGCAGTTGAGCTTCCTGCACTAGCTCCGTGCTTCCTCTGGTCCATGATCCCAATGCCTGGGATCCCGAGCAGGGGCTGCTTCCCTCATGCTCCCAGTTTTACCCTGGACTTAGCTGCGTTCCAGGCTGAAGGGCCCTGCCCAGGTAGTTGGCACTGCCCAGGAGGGTGCTCTTCGTAAGTGCTGCTTCTTGTCCTGACTGCCGTAATTCCTGCCTTCGGGAATGCCGTTTCCATGCATCACAGCAGTCCTGCCCCTTCCTCTTCCAGAAAGCCCACAGACTGACTTGACAGTATAAAATGTTGTCCTGTTTTAGAATAAACGTACTCCAAACTGTTTTAATCAAGGATTATTTACATTGCAGATCAAAAATAATAAGTAGCTGGTGCGGATATAATGGAGCAGCCTAAGTGCGTGAGTGATGCGGGTTTAATAGCCCGGACACTGTTAGGGGCTGGTGCCACGGGGATGGCCAGGTCACGCCGCGGCGCTCCGGGTCACATACGTCGCCCTTCACCTCACTCTCGCCAGGCTGTGCTCACCGTGTGGGTGACTTCCAGCCACCTCCACTCTATAGAGAGGGATACGTGTGTATTTGTCAGTCTTGGTGGTGTATATGTGCAGAGAGGTTCGGTGCAGTGTGGCTGCAACAGGAATCACAGGACCCTGTGTGCAGTGCTGGAAGGCAATCGTTTCTATCCCAAATATTGTTACCATCCAGAAGAGTTTGGCTCCATTTTGTTTGCATTAGGGGAGGGCATCAGTACTGGCTCCGCACGAACGAGACAAAGAGCCTTCCTGAACTTGCTCGTCCTCCTCGTGGTGCCTGCACTTGGCACCAAGGTTTGGTCCCTGCCAAAACACAGGCTTGAGCTGCTGACCCAGTTCGGCTCACTGGAAATGAGCAGCCCTGGTGACCTGCGGCCAGGGACGTGACTCAGCTAGGTGACCGTCTTTGCTGCATGTGGACCTAGGGGTGCTCTTGTTATGCCCTCCTGAAGAGTTGCTCGTTGAACCAAGTTTTTTTCTGTGGCTTCCCAATCTTACAAACATTTTTTTTCCTTTATTATTTTATCTTAAATAAAATGGCTGTTATCTGGCTGACACATGATAAGTTCTGTGCCTGATACCAGCCGTAAATGATTCATTCTTCTCAGAGCATCAGGTTTTTTAATTATAGCCAGAGCCAGTGTTTTATATAGTCCGTAACTCGTAATGACTCACTGTATTTGGTTGCTGCTTGCAATGCAGGCTATTTTTGTGTCGTGCCCTCCTGCTCAGGGTGAACCACGTGTTCTCTAGAGGCACCGGAGAGCACCGAGTAAGTGAGAGGGGCAAAAGCAAGGCTGACAAGTAGTGCTGAGCAGAGGAGAGGGGCGGAGAACGTGGGTACCCGTGGGTGAACAGTGCCTGCTGGTGGAACAGGCCAGGCACACGCGAGCCAGGAGCACGTTCGGTGCCGTGTTCCAGGCATTAGTCTGCAGGGGACGTTCTGCACCCGCTGTGTGCAGCTCGGCGGCCTCGTGCCGCGGCGTGCGAGGAGGAGCAGCGCGGCCTGCCGGGCGCGCGGCGGCAGCACCGCGGAGCGCAGGACTGCTGCTGCCTCCGGGCTTAACTCCGACCGGGGACGTGTTCCTCACCGTCCCAAGAGGAGACACTTCTCAACATTTCTCGGATTTGGGCATGAAAAAAAATGGTTTCCCTTTTGTCTTGTGTGTTATCTAATGCATTACTTACGTGCTTGTTCTTTTAGGTGAAAGGGAAATCCTGCTTTCCAGAGCCCTCACAATGATGCTGTCAGGGCGAGGTGGAAACCTGCAGGTGGGAGTTGTACAACGTAGCCAAGGAGCCAAACGTTTCTGTTTCACAGTGGAAAACCTGATTCTGCAAGAAGGTTAACTGGAGAAACATCTCCAGGATAAAGAAATCTCTGAGTGCTTCATATTTCCATGGTTTCCATGAAAACAAGTCTAATTTGAGGTAGTTCACAGCCATCTTCTAGGGAAGTTGAAAACGAACAGATGTGTATCCCTCTATATTGACATCTGTGAGGAGTCTTCAGCCTTGAGTTCATCATTTAAGAGAAAATGCAACAGTCAGCGCCTCAATCTAGTCAAGGTGAGGTGGTAACACTTGCTGAACAAGCTTTCCTTTATGGAAGTGCAGGCATTGCATCACGCTAAAATACTTGAAGCTATTGATTCATTAGACTATTTTACTAGGAGCGTAGAAATTAAATGAGCAAGTGTGAATGAGTATGTGGGGCCGTCTGATACACTAATGGATTTTTATCCACTGCTCAAGTGAATGAGGTGCAAAGAGGCCTAAAAGCATCTTCCTGTGCAAGTGCTACCCCATTAGACTCCAGACTGGTAAAGCAGCACTCAGGCCTGGCACACAACGGCCTGCCTGTGTGCCAACCTTGCTTTTATTGGCAGTTAGTCCCAGAAAACAACACCTGGGGCAACACCAGGGCTGGGCATTTCCAGGATGCATACATACAGTAACACTTGTAAATACTGTGTGGCCTGTGTTAAAGATGTGCATGAATGTGTCTGCTTAGTTGCTGACCACAACGCCCTAATGCCGCGCAGGAGTGCAGCTCAGTGCTTTCTTGAAGACGGGGAATTTTCAGCCCAGCTTTTTGGAGCGCGTGTCCTTCAGACCCTGCGCGGTCGCTTAGCCGTGCAGGGAGAGGCGAGCGCCGGGGACGGCACGTGCAGGGCAGGCGTGCGGGTTTTGTGTTCATCCTTCTGCTGCCGTCAGGGAGGGCCTGGTGGCCGCGGGGCTGCTGAATCTGTTCCCGTCTCCCTGTGTGCGTGATCCTGTGCAGAGGTGCCAGCCGCTCTTTCTTCCCCCTTCTTTTCCGTGTCTGTGCAGCGTTAACGGGTGGGTTGCCATAGCAACCCTTCCATGAGGCGTTGGGCCGCTTCCTGCAGCACCAGGATCCCTCTCCTGCTGCGCTCCGGCCCCTTCGCCGTGGCCAGAACGGCTGGGGGACTGTGGGCAGGGTGCCCTGTGCCCCAAGGGTCTTCTAGAGCAGGCAAGGGGGCTGCGCCCCTGCCTCGGGGGGCTCTGCGGAATAGGTGCGGGTGGCTGCAGCACGCGAGCTGTGTGTGGGAACAGCCTCTGCCATCCCGGGATTTGCGGGTGCTCCTGGAGAGGGCTGGGCAGTGTTTGCTGTGTGCCTGGGGCGGGCACATGGACTTGGAGTGCTTCCCAATTCAAGGCAGATCACTGCGAGAACTAAAGCATCTTATCCTCCCGTTCTGCAAAAACAGTCTCCCCGAGTAATTCCAGGCAGGAATTTTAAAATTAAAAATGAAAGAGGCCCTGGCAGTTGAGTAAGCCAGAGCGACTACAAGTAATTATTTTAATTCAGCCTCCGTTTTGTGCGCAGTACGGGGAGTGCACTGCAGGTGCAGAATAAGCTTCCTCAGAGCTGGGGGCAAGGGTGTCATCTCCATTCGCTGTTTCCCTGGCCTAGGGCACCCAAGTGCAAGCTGGGCTTCACCACACGTTTTCTTCACCTCTGGGTCCGGTTTCCCTCCTGGTGGTGGCTGGAACGACGCTCACCAGGATGTCGTATGCAGCGCCTGAGCTCTGGGGGTTACAGCTCCTGAAGGACCGGTTGTGACTTTCTTAGGATGTTTGTATGATGATTGTACCCATTATTTTTGCAG